GGAGAGCAAGCGATTGGTCAAACGAAGGAGATACAGGACAAATCGATACAGCTCGTGGAAGAATCGAATTTATCGATAAAGAAGCGAACAACGAGCTTTTCCCCCTCATCCCCTTTCCCGTTTCTGTTTCACTCTTTCGTTTCCTTTTTTTTCTCCCTTCTTCTCATGGCGCAAAAAACGCTCAGAAAATTCACTCTCAAGCAAAATTAACGCCTCCCTTTGACTTTGTTTAAACCAATTGCAAGGCATTAAATTCCTTTTAAAAGCCAAACGTTAAAGCATCAGGCCAATAATAAGTTTAAACGTAAACGTTGATACAAAATACACGGCTGCGATTCAATTTTATTGTCCTTAATAATCCATCATGTAACTAACGCGTTGACGAAATGATCGCTTTATAAAATAGACGAAACAAACACGGTGTTACAACCGTATCGATCGGCGTTTCGCGAGAGAGAGAAAGAGAGAGAGAGAAAGAAAGAGAGAGAGAGAAAGAGAGAGAGAGAGAGAGAGAGAGCGTTTTTTCATCGTGCGTTTGAAAAAATACAATCGCCCGGCTTGCGGAGCTAGCCAGTATTTTTAATTGAATTAAATATGACGCGTTCAGATTTAACTTTCATACGCACGCCAGGTGAAATAAAACATTGTAATTTATTTCCAAGTAACGGCTCTCTGTGAATTACCGTGGAAAATTCTATTTGCGAATAATCGTGAAAACCGTTCGTGCATAATTCCTATTAAAATGAGATCGAATCGATATTCTTTTTTATTTTTATTTTTTTTTCGTTTTAAATGCCACGAGCGAGAGGGTAAAAACGCGGAACGCTACGATTTCAAATTTCCCCTCCCCTCCCCCCTCCCCAAAAAAAACAGCGTAGCATAGGTACTAACGTGAAAAAAAGACGCGGAAACACGAAGCTCATTTCTTTTAATTATGTCAGGTTATTTATCATAATTCTTGCCCGTGCGCGTTCTGTCAGAGACATTCATACGACCGTACCGTTCCGAATGATTTTACCGTAACATGGCGAGGAGCGGCTCGATCATCAGAGGATCGTGGATAACGCGAGAGTTTCAACCACCGGTTTCTCGACGCTCGAATTAACGAACCACCGGTTATTAACGATCACCAGTGACACCGTGACGTCGTACTCGGAACGAATACTCGTTGCAACGGAATTAAACTGCTGCAGCGAGCGTACCGGCAGGTTGCATTACGAGGAACAACGACGCACGAGGGACAACGCTGAACCCAGATGGGCCACTTTGCTCTTAGATAGTAATCGTCGTCGAGCTCTAGTTACAAATTACGAATCCGTGAGAAGAATCGCTGGTATAGCGAATGCTGTATATACGTAGATGAGACAAAACCGGTGGAATGTGGCGCGCACCAACTTCCTAACGATAAATACATAGAAACATAGTTGTTTATCCAGCGAGTCTCATTACGCTTAATTCGAATATATTATATCCGATGCTCGCGTTCATAACACGACAAATGCTTGGTAAGTAGAAACAAACACGATGCACCGAAACATTTACAGAGTGCTCGCTATTAATCGCCAGTCAGCGGTTTAGCTCGCCTCCCGTCGCTCGCCTCATTAATATTCTTTAGCGAGAACGGATACGCGGGCGCTTTGAATTGGTGACGCGCAGCTTCTTGATTGAACGTTTTAGACTGATTCTGGCATTAACTTGGAGGTTAACACGATTAGTTGGAAACGCGACTCCCTTCCTTCGCGAACACGTTCGAAGGCGAACCAATAGACGCAAACGAGGATCCGCGGCACCATCCACGGTCTTCGCCGTGGTGATGAATCTTCGTTAGGGATTGCGAGTATGTAACTTCCAATTAAAAAAGATGGGCCGCGTTAGTGTGTCCGTCTGCATTTGTGCACGCTCTGACATTAATGCGTTTCACAGCCGATATTTTCGCACTTAATAGAACTTAATAGAACTTAATGGAAGAATTATCTTTTTTTCTTTTCCCTTTTCTCTTCCCGTTTCTTCTGCCTTCTTCTCTCTGTTTCTCAACGTGCTTAAAAACCTCTGAATTAACAATAGTTCGATGGTGGTAAAAAAATAATTCACGTAGACGACACATCACAGAAAAGAAAACATGAGTTGAAATGATACGAATTGGTGTCAGTGTTGAAACAGATTGTAAAAATAAAAGGAAGTATCGAAGAAGTTGAAAATTTGTTAAAAGTATTTTTTTTTTTTTGTTGGAATTTGAAATTTATTTGCACGCTTTCGTGTAATTCATTTTAAATCACGCACGGCGATACGGACGAATTAAGAACGTGCAAACAACCAAGTGAACAAACAAAAATCTCCTGACTGAAGATTTCTCAGATTTCACTGCCGATGGAAAGATCTCACAGCGGCAAAACGATCGCACGGTTACACAAATATGGGAACGGAGGCTCTCGAATGAACCTCTAATTCAATCTAATTCAACAAACGAAGAAAAACGACAAAAGAACGTCGGTCTTTGCGAGCTCTAATAAATCCAGAAAATTGCGGACCAATCAGCCTATTCAGCTGGCCGAACAAGACGCCGGAAACGAATTGATATAATTCAGCTAAAAATCCAGAATGTCGTGAAAGCAGTTCCCCCTACACTGGTAGCCGTCTCAAACTCTTCGAAAACGTAGAAAATTACGAAGACGACCTATTAGTTTGATGCTATTACGCGCGTGATTAATACGGCATTAATCCAGCGAAATTTAAACCGTCGAACCGTCGAGGCCCTTTGCACTTTAAGACGATAACTAACCAGGCCAATCCAGTATCGCGATGGAGTGTTAAAATACCGTCTAAGTGCATTAGGGAACGAGGGGAATGCCGTTTTCTCGACGGTGCGCTAAGATCCGAGGTGAAAACCGCGCAAATCTAATTTCGCGAAGGGTTAAGTCCACCGGTCGAACCATGAGAAGACGAGTGGGTGGTGTCTGGGCTTAATTAAATTTGTTAAGAAGATCGTTAAGGAGGATGAGAAGGGGATAAACGGCCGAGCAAAAAGTGCAATGGAATCATTTCAGTCGCAGTCGTGCTTCGTCTCTCGCAGTAACACCGGTTTCGTGGGTTTACACGCTCAAAATCTTCTCCGTCGTCACGATTGTTCAATTATTCGAAGGCTTGAAGCTCTCGTCGACGAGAGGCATCGTTTACTCACGATCGTTTAACCAATGTATTAAATTCACGCGGAAGTTTATTCCATCGCCCACTGTAGCACGTATTGTTTCTCCGATAGAGACGAAGGAACGTTTCCATCGATTCGATATTATCGCTAGATTAACACATTCGAGACTGGTGTGAATTTGAAAAAGATATTTTTCCACTAATGGCAGAGAATTTGCAGCAATTTAACGTTTTGAAGTAAAACGAGTACATTTCAATATAACTTTTTTATTAGAAGAGCATCGTGTGCATCATCGTCATAAAAAACTCATTTCTCTATTACATGGCACCTATGAGAAAAATGGCAACTTTCTGTTTAACGATATTTATCGCAAAAATATAACAATCATGACTCTGTAATCGTAATAAATATCACTTGAAATTTTTAGAATATCGTACGGAACATGTGTCTAAATGTGAATCGGATTTTTCTCTCACAGGTGTAATTTGTGTCTTTTCATTATACACACTTTCTCTTTTTACTAAATTGTTCTTCTGTTTAGATAACACGTATTCAATCTATCATTGTATCATTGATTTTATATATTAATGATCGTGCTTGTAGCATACTCATTTTTAGCGTAACGCTAAAACCAACCGTCGTACAAATGCTTTAGGAACTTCATTCTACAGTTGATCACTAGTGGAATGACCTTTTCAATGTAATTTAAAAATCGACGCAGATATTATTAATCTTTGGTTATTGATAATGAGCAAAGATATTAAACAACGCAGTATCATCAGTCTCAAAAATGTGTTGATAACAATATCCCGTCGAAATTCCCTTTTTATCGATCGTAAAATCCAACAGTCGAATATTTGTCATTGCTCACTTTCCAATCACCGGTGGTGCATCGATAATGCACCAAGGGTGGTCATCTCTTCCGACCTTCGGAATCGTATAGATCCGCGTTTACACTCGCCGAAGTGTCGTGTCTCTCGCGCTTATACATATTAATGGGGTCCTGCATAGTCATCGGACATCGCGCTACCACCGGCTGAACTTGCAACTCGCAAAAGCTCACGCCTTTATTACGAAATCGATCGCAAAACGAAAGGAGACCGTTCGAAGGCCGTTGGTGTTACGATCGGACCTCGATGCCAATCGCGCTCTTCTCGTAATTTCGACCGGTCTCTGCGAACGATCGACTTTTCATTAAGACACGATTCTACCAACGGTCTGTCTCGCTGGTTGGTTCGTTCTTCCGTGATCAACGAGCAACAGAGGGAGAGGAAGGAAAGGATCGTGGAAGTTACACGAAGACGTCGCTATAAGTCTCGGTCGGTCGATTTAGGTTGCGATTAAAGACCCTTTATCAGAGGCTGCCGCTTCGTCTCTCGCTAAAACGCGTCGTGTACCATCCTAACTCGATAATGCATTACTCGAAGCCGCCTCATAATGTCGGCCCAAGACGTCGCAAAATGAAGAAAAGAAGAAAGAAAAAAGAAAAAAGAAAGAAAGGACCTGCGCGTAATCCCTTCCCCGTTTGTGGCGTCGTACCGAGGATCTACGCGAAGGGGTCGAGGCTCGGGATTAATAAAATACACTAGCTACTGTGTCAACCATTTCTTTTAAACCAGTACCCGGATTACCCGTGGCCATTCCCCTTTTTCACCGGGACCGACTGTTCCTTGCGGATTTTAAATGAAACAAATGCTGCGTTAAATAGATGCTAATTTTTCTTCTAATTCACTTAGAAGTCGGCTCGAGTAACTTTGCTAAATAAAAGGGAGGAGATTATGAGGCGAGCTGTTTGCCTGCCGTTCCTTGTGAGTTACTTTTCTCTCTTTTTTCCACTTCTTACGCTATTATGTTCTTATATTGCCCGCTGCTTCTCAAAAAAACTCACCGAGACGTTTTCTCCTCTCAAGTAGACAGCGGATTACGCGCTCTCTACTTGAGAGGAGTCTGATAATCGAGCGATAGGAAAGGTGATCCAGGAAAAATCAACATTTAATACGTTCTCGGAGTGCCTTTTTTACAGTCTGCATACATGAATGAGAAATAGCAACGTGTGAAAGCACAGAGTAAAAAAAGGAAAATGAGAAAATGTTGGATCATCAGTTTTGTTCTTTTCTTTTTTTCAAAGAAAACATTATTTCTAGATGGAATATCCATTCCGAGATTTCACACCGCCAAAAGGATAATTTCCCCCTTTGTGCGTCGGCTCTATCTAAATTTCCAACAAGAAGCAATTATCTCGGAGAAGTTACGGCGAACTTGCATAACTTTGTCAAAGCATCAATGTCGCTGTAATTCCATCTATCATAGTCAGGCGGCTTATAAGATCGTTTCTCTCGATTTTTCCGCAGGTGCACATAAACTTAGGCGCCGGCGAGAGCGAGATGGCCAGCGCCCGTGGACTAACATTGAACGACCTGAGCTGGCACAAGGTGAATGTGACGAGACGGGAGGCGAATATCACGCTACAGATTGACGTGATACACACGACCAGGTCTCTTCTGCCAGGACGTTTCTTCGAATTGAATATACACTACGGAGTCTTCATCGGGGGACAGGGTGACTTTAACGAGCTATTTCTAGGTAAGACCCGTACCAGCAAGCTTGACTCACTCGGATAAATCGTCAGGCCACGTGACTGAATTCGCTTACTACGTTCTCGCTTCGAACGCGAGAATCCCTACCTCGCTACCTCGCGCGTCGATATTGATGAAGTTTCATGGTTTGATCAAATATTTTATCCTCAAATCGATTCATAATACCCATTGCGATTCCTTTATAACGTTTAAAGCGAAATCATTGTTTTTTCTCATACCGGACAAAATTATGATTTCGTTCTTGTTTGGTTTGTTGAAGGATAGTAATTGTACTGTCGGATGCAGCAATCGAATCCATATTTTCGAGGAAAACATGTCCAAATATATTTAAAAGTGTAATTTTTTTATATGTAGAAAATTGTTGCAACACTACGTATAAAAAATTTAATATCTTCTCTTCATATTTTCCATTAGTATAAGCTAAGTAATATATTAGTGAATATATGTGAAATAAATGAAATAAAATTCAATATTTTTTTAATTAATATTTAGATAATATTTGGTGGAAATACATAATAGATACTGAAACAATATCTATTATAATAAGCAAAAATTAGTCTCTTTCATTGGTGATCTGAAAAATGGTTAGTATCTAGTTAATTTATGACTAACCAAACAACAATTGAATATTGCACTGAAGTTTATGTTATTCAACATTGATCTATTGATGAAACTCCATCAATTTTGATAACGTCTCTTCTTGCATCCAACAGTACAATTGTTTTCAATACACCATGTTTCATCCCAGAATTATTTATAAATACACATGAACAATACGTTTGGATTTCGAAGATTTGAAGCTTTCTCTTACTTATTCTATCACTCATTCAATTTATTAATCTGTTAGTATTTTACACGAGTAAGTAATATTTTACAGATTTCATTCACGTCAACATTTTATATGCTGCAGTTAAAAAATTAACTTTTCGGCTAGGAAATATACGCTATTTACATTGTTATACATCGCCAACGGGATGTTCAAGTCTGAGATTCATATGTGTAAAATTTAAAGGCGTCCTGAAAACCACCAAGTTTTTCGACCAAGATTTTCACTGATAAATTTTTACCGCTGCCCCGACGATAAAAAAGATCCGTCACGGTTTGAATTGAAATCGAAAAACAATATATAAGGACGTTCGACAAAAAATATTTCATTGACGCAGTCGAACTAGATTTGACGAATTCCACTTCGATTTCATCACCTCTCGTATATATAAAAATTCATATTTTCACAACTGCAAACGGATTATACAGAGACGACCGGAGGTACGTGTTACGTGATCACGGCCCGGCAACAACTGGATTCGAATTTCGTTTTGCATGTGTTGCGGTGAAATACCTACTCCATTGGAGAGATTTTCTCGCTTGCGTATAATAGAAACAACGAAGCCCGCGATTCGGTAGCTCAATGTACCGATTTATTTATTATTTCGAATACGATCAAATTTCCAAGTATACTTAATTATTAAACTGCAAACTGTCTACGCAATTCTGTTATAATTATATCGTCCGTAAAGTGGCTAATGCGAATGAAAGGAATTTCAGAGTGAGAAACAATGTCAATAATTTTCTTTGTCAATAATTTTCTCTCTCAATAATCTTCTTTGTCATATTGATAACAGTAACTCAATCGGAAAATACATTTTACATTTATTCATTATTCTCGTCAAGATTGTAATTTTGTTTTCTAAAAATGTAGTAAATTTTCTTGCTATGCTTGTCTCGTAAATTTTCTCTTCCCCATCTTACGTACATTAGAAAAGAAACAGAATTTTGGAATGACAAGAAAAGAAAAAAGCATCCGCTATTCTTCGACAATAATCGTTAATACACAACACAAAAGTTATTCGTCTTCGTTTTTTCCTTCTATATCTCTGAATGATTTCGAACATACTCGGACTGTTGTTATACGTACGTTATTAAATCCCGAGAATAAAAAGATAGAGTATCCCACTTAAAGAAAGAAGTACAACGGTAACTTAATTTCGTTTTCCACTCCCATAATTACGTTTCTATAATCTTCCACTGGAATCTAATATTTTTCTTCCTAATAACAAGCGAAATACAGTTTGATCGACAAGTTCTTGCCTTTCCGATCTCGAACAATATTCGGTGTATAACGATACAAAAGCAAATATATGGCTATCATTTTTAATACGAGGTTCAAGAATAACAGGGCCAATTTCACGTCGTATATTAAATGGCCAATCTGTATCTTTCGATTGATTTAGCGAAATATTATTTAGCGTGCATCATAGGGGATATTTACTCCATCCATCACTGACGTGAACCATCAGCGACGGTCATTGAGCAAGATTAGCACAGAGAATATTCTGATAGCAGGGCACCACGACACTGGATGTACTGTCTAAACCTAATTTCTAGTCGCTGACGAATCGATCATCGATCTCCTTCCCTGACAAGATGAAATTATCGAAGCTTACCCGGGATGGCTGACCCGTTAATCGTAATCACGAAATCGTAAATCGGATGTACAGTGTATAACTGCTGGCTGGAGAGAAACGCCGGTTTCGAAGATGGAGAGCGAAATTTGTGTTCCAATTGTTGATCTACACTAAGATTATACAAGTTTTTAAAAATCATACGAAACAAGTAATTCTTTACAAAAAAATGTATACATTCTTTTTGCAACGACATTTTAGCCGACAATTTGACCGATCGACCAATGCATCAAATGACTTTTTCATATCGTGAAAGCTGCTGAGAATGCTCGTCATAGCATTTGAATTTCTTTCCTTTCAAGATTATTTTAATTTTTGTCAGATCTGATGAAACGCTAACTAGCGCACGTATGAAACTCATTTCGTGACACGTATACAAAAACTAGAGTCATTCTAAATCTGAATGCTATAATGATCAAATTGTCACAAAACAAAGGGAATTTTGGTATACACGTCTCTGTTGGTTTCTTTCTTTCCTTTCCCGTACAAAGTACGATTATTTTTTAAACAGGCCTCGTACCCTCGATGAGAATCAATTTGAGCGAAAACTGCATTAAAATCGCAAATCCGAAATGAGATTCGGCTTTGCCGGCCGCGAATTTTATCTAACTTCCGCGCGGTCGAGCTCTGTCTCTCGCGTATCTCCGCTTGTGTATCTTTCGCAGCCACTTTCGCGAGTTTAAATCACAGCGCGCGGATGAGTGGCGCGGCTCGCCTCGAGCCAAAACGGCAATAACTCGCGTTGCGAGAGTATACCGAGCGATAGAGAGACGGCAAGTTCACTGCAAAAAGCAAAAATTCATCGGAAGGCGACCGAGATGACGCGTACCAAATTGAATACGATCAGTACAAACAGAGAGTGTACCGGTGACGCTCGTTCCCCCGCCCCTCCCCCTGTTATTCCCCCGAGCATCTCGCGCAACGCTCGACGACCAGCTCGAAATTCAATTTACATATTCATGACAATTCATTTGTACCCCATGGTACGACATAGCCGTGGCCCGCCAGCCCCTCCAGAATCTCTTATTAATTCCTGCTGCCCTGCAGGAGCGCCGCTAAATTTCTCGAGTCGAGGAATAAAGAACGAGGAAAAGGAGCGAACAAACCGTCCACGCCGCGCCACTCTCTGACAATTCGTTCACTCTTCGAATACAAAGTCGTCGCGCGTTCGTGCACGATGTTAAAAAGAGGAACCTACCGGACGATCCTACGAATTCGTTTCCGTGCCACGACACCGGGGCAGATGGAGAGGGTGATGGTTTTGCGTGAAGTTGGCGGCAACTTATTCATTTTCCATCTCGCTAAAATATACATAAGACCGGTATAGGATGTTAATCTAACTCCCGAGACTCGCGGATGCTTCGTTCGGCTTTTGGTGGATTAAGCCAACTGGTGGCTCAAAAAAAAAAAAAAAAAAAAAAAA